AAGATAGTTACATAGTTAGTCTGGATGAAAAAAGACAAAAGTCCATCCAAAAAAAAAAGTTAGAATCCTACACCCACAGAAGACAAAAACCCAGCAAAGCATGATCCAATTTGCTCCTGCAGGGGAAAAAACTCCTTCCTGATCCCCCGAGAGGCAATCGGATATTCCCTGGATCAACTTTACCTATAAATGTTATATCCAGTTATATTCTGTGTATCCAAGAAAGGATCCAGGACTTTCCTACAGCAATCCACTGAGCTGGCCACAACCAACTCTTGAGGGAGTCTATTCCACATTCTCACAGCTCTTACTGTGAAGAAACCTTTCCGTGTTTGGAGATTACATCTCTTTTCCTCCAGATGTAAAGAGCACCCCCTTGTCCTCTGTGATGACCTCAGGGGGGATAACTCTACACCGAGTTCACTATATGAACCACCATGTATTTATACATGGAGATCATACCCCCCTTATGTATTATACATGGAGATCATATCCCCCCTTATGTATTATACATGGAGATCATATCCCCCCTTATGTATTATACATGGAGATCATATCCCCCCCTTATGTATTATACATGGAGATCATATCCCCCCTTATGTATTATACATGGAGATCATATCCCCCCTTATGTATTATATATGGAGATCGTATCCCCCTTATGTATTATACATGGAGATCATATCCCCCCTTATGTATTATACATGGAGATCATATCCCCCCTTATGTATTATATATGGAGATCGTATCCCCCCTTATGTATTATACATGGTGATCGTATCCCCCTTATGTATTATACATGGTGATCGTATCCCCCCTTATGTATTATACATGGAGATCATATCCCCCCTTATGTATTATACATGGAGATCATATCCCCCCCTTATGTATTATACATGGAGATCATATCCCCCCTTATGTATTATACATGGAGATCATACCCCCCTTATGTATTATACATGGAGATCATATCCCCCTTATGTATTATACATGGAGATCATATCCCCCCTTATGTATTATACATGGTGATCGTATCCCCCTTATGTATTATACATGGTGATCATATCCCCCCTTATGTATTATATATGGAGATCATATCCCCCTTATGTATTATACATGGTGATCATATCCCCCCTTATGTATTATACATGGAGATCATATCCCCCTTATGTATTATACATGGAGATCATACCCCCCTTATGTATTATACATGGAGATCATATCCCCCCCTTATGTATTATACTTGGAGATCATATCCCCCCTTATGTATTATACATGGTGATCATATCCCCCTTATGTATTATACATGGAGATCATATCCCCCCCTTATGTATTATACATGGAGATCATATCCCCCCTTATGTATTATACATGGTGATCGTATCCCCCTTATGTATTATACACATGGTGATCGTATCCCCCCTTATGTCTTATACATGGTGATCATACCCCCCTTATATATTATACATGGAGATCATATCCCCCCTTATGTATTATACATGGAGATCATATCCCCCCCCTTATGTATTATACATGGAGATCATATCCCCCCTTATGTATTATACATGGAGATCATATCCCCCCTTATGTATTATACATGGAGATCATATCCACCTTATGTATTATACATGGTGATCATACCCCCCTTATGTATTATACATGGAGATCATATCCCCCCTTATGTATTATACATGGTGATCATATCCCCCCTTATGTATTTATCCCCCCTTATGTATTATACATGGAGATCATATCCCCCCTTATGTATTATACATGGAGATCATATCCCCCCTTATGTATTATACATGGAGATCATATCCCCCTTATGTATTATACATGGTGATCATATCCCCCCCTTATATTATACATGGAGATCATATCCCCCTTATGTATTATACATGGAGATCATATCCCCCCCTTATGTATTATACATGGAGATCATATCCCCCTTATGTATTATACATGGAGATCATATCCCCCTTATGTATTATACATGGAGATCATATCCCCCTTATGTATTATACATGGAGATCATATCCCCCTTATTATGTATTATGTATATACATGGAGATCATATCCCCCTTATGTATTATACATGGAGATCATATCCCCCTTATGTATTATACATGGAGATCATATCCCCCCCCTTATGTATTATACATGGAGATCATATCCCCCCTTATGTATTATACATGGAGATCATCATATCCCCCCTTATGTATTATACATGGAGATCATATCCCCCTTATGTATTATACATGGAGATCATATCCCCCCTTGTATTATACATGGAGATCATATCCCCCCTTATGTATTATACATGGTGATCATATCCCCCCTTATGTATTATACATGGAGATCATATCCCCCTTATGTATTATACATGGTGATCATATCCCCCCTAATGTATTATACATGGAGATCATATCCCCCCTTATGTATTATACATGGAGATCATATCCCCCTTATGTATTATACATGGAGATCATATCCCCCCTTATGTATTATACATGGAGATCATATCCCCCTTATGTATTATATATGGAGATCATATCCCCCCTTATGTATTATACATGGTGATCATATCCCCCCTTATGTATTATTATCATATCATGGAGATCATATCCCCCTTATGTATTATACATGGAGATCATATCCCCCCTTATGTATTATTATACATGGAGATCATATCCCCCCTTATGTATTATACATGGAGATTAACATCATCATATCCCCCCTTATGTATTATACATGGAGATCATATCCCCCTTATGTATTATACATGGAGATCATATCCCCCCCCCCCTTATGTATTATACATGGAGATCATACCCCCCCCCCCCTTATGTATTATTCATGGTGATCATATTCCCCCTTAATCTCCTCTTCTCAAGAGGCAGTAAAAGAAGAGAATGCTGGACATCAAAATGTAAAATAAAAGAATATAAAGTGTAAACAAATGTATAATTAAAAATTATAAACAAATGTAAAAAAAAATATAAAAATGCAAACAAATGTATAATAAAATATAAAGTGTAAACAAATATATAAAAAAAAAATAAAGTATCAACAAATGAATATAAAAAAGAATATAAAGTGTAAACAAACATAAAAAAAGGAATATAAAGTGTAAACAAATATATAAGAAAAGACTATAAAGTGCAAACGAATATATATAAGAAAAGAATATAAATTGTAAACAAATGTATAAAAAATTAAAATAAAGTGTAAACAAATGTATATAAAAAATAATATAAAGTGTAAACAAATGTATAATTAAAGCCTAAAAAGTGTAAACAAATGTATTAAAAAAAAGAATATAAGTCTAAACAAATGTATAGTTAAAGAATATTAAGTTGAAAATAAAATGTAAAATTCAAGAGTATAGTTATGTGCCAAGATCTACAGAAAAATTGACACCACCCTACATGACCGGGTTCCAAAATATACTAAAATTTGTCAGCCCTGGATAGGTCCATTCCTGCCCATAGACTTGACTCGACGTTGCCTGACCATTAGTGGCGTACTCATACCTTTCATCGCTATCAGTAGTCCTCCCACTACGACTAAGCACCTGGGAACCCCTCCCCCCTTCATCTCTCCTCCCCCTTCCTATCTACTACCCCCACCCTCCTCTCTCACTTTTGTATTACTATGCAAGGGATAGATTATTCTTCACATCGGTGACACCAATGCTGGTGACACCAATGGCTTACAATCTGCTGAAATAATGTATCCTGCCTGGCCCAGCTCATGTGCCCTTAGCCTATTGTATACAGTTGATGCTTGGAGCTGTGTATCCCATTATTCTGTAATGTTGATGGTAAAACTTGAGTAAAAATTTATGAACAGAAAAAAAAATTATAATGTAAAAGAAAGAGTGAAACAATAAAATAAAATGTCAAATAAAAAAACTTGAATAAACCTTTTTTGAACCAAAAAAAAAAAAAAGAATATACATGGTAAAACAAAGTGTAAAATAACATGTCAAATAAAATGACAAATGAAAAAAACTTGAATAAAAATTTCTGAATCGAAAATAAAAGAATATACATGGGAAAACAAAGTGTAAAGAAAAAACTTGAATATAAATTACTGAACAGAAAATAAAACATTATACAGTGTAAAATAAAATGTAAAATAATATGGAAGATAAAATATCAAATAAAAAAACTTGAATAAAAATTTCTGAACAGAAAATAGAAGAAAATACATTGTAAAACAAAGTGTAAAATAATATGCAAAATAAATTGGAAAATAAATTGTAAAGTAAAATGTAGTCCACTAAGTCTAGTGAATCTTTACTGCATATGACAAAAATTTAGAAGAAAAAATCCATACGGGGGTTCACAATTTCTTTCAAATAATGCTAGCATTAAAAGAACTGTAAAATAAAAAAAATATAAAAAAAAAAATGTTAAATAAAGTGTAAAATAAAATGTACATTAAAATGTAAAATAAAGAAGTATAAAGCGTAAAATAATATGTCAAATAAATGTAAAAAAGGTGTAATGTGTAAAATAAAATGTAAAATAAGGTGTAAAATAAAACGTTAAAGAATATAAAGCGTAAAATCAAAATTAAAATGAAAACTAAAGTGTAAAATTAAATGTAAAATAAGGTGTGATATAAAATGTAAAGTTAAAGAATATAAAGCATAAAATAAAATGTAAAATAAGGTGTAAAATAAAATGTAAAGTTAGAGAATGTAAAGCGTAAAATGTAAAATAAAGTGCAAAGTAAAATGTAGTCCAGTGAATCTTTTCTGCAGATGACAAGGGTTCAGAAGACAAAGCCACTGCATTTCGGGAGTTCAAGACTCCCTTCATCAGGCGTTAGATACAAGCACTAATGGCAATACTGAGAACACTGGACAACAAAATATACAACAAAAGGATATAAAGTGTAAAATAAAATGCAAAATAAAAGTAAAATAAATGAATACAAAGTGTGAAATAAATGTAAAATAAAAGGAGATGTAGTGTAAAATAAAATGTAAAATAGAGGAATATGAATTGGAACATAAAATGTAAAATAAATGCTAACAAATGATAAAAAGTATAACATAAAATGTAAGATAGATGTAAAATAAAAGTAAAATAAAGTGTAAAATAAAATGTAAATAAAGTGTAAAATGTAAAATAAGGTGTAAATAAAAAAAGTTGTAAAAGCATAAAATAAAATGTAAAATAAGGTGTATAATAAAATGCAAAGTTAAAGAATATAAAGCAAAAATAAAATGTTAAAATGTAGAATATAAAGCATAAAATAAAATGTAAAATAAGGTGTGACATAAAATATAAAGTTAAAGAATATAAACCATAAAATAAAATGTAAAATAAAATGTAAAATAACATGTAAAGTTAGAGAATATAAAGCGTAAAGTGTAAAATAAAGTGCAAAGTAAAATGTAGTCCAGTGAATCTTTACTGCAGATCACAAGGGTTCAAAAGACAAAGCCACTACATTTTGGTGGTTCAACACTCCCTTCATCAGGAGTTAGATGGCAATACTGAGAATACTGGACAACAAAATATACCATAAAAGGATATAAAGTGTAAAATAAAATGCAAAATAAAAGTAAAATAAAAGAATATAAAGTGTGAAATAAATGTAAAATAAAAGGATATGTAGTGTAAAATAGAGGAATATGAATTGTAACATAAAATGTAAAATAAATGCTAATAAATGATAAAAAGTATAAAATAAAATGTAAGATACATGAAAAATAAAAGTATATAAAGTGTAAAATAGAATGTAAAATAAGGTGTGAAATAAAATGTAAAGTTAAAGAATATAAAGCGTAAAATCAAAATCAAAATGTAAAATAAAGTGTAAAATAAAATGTAAAATAAGGTGTGAAATAAAATGTAAAGTTAAAGAATATAAAGCAAAAAATTGAAAGTTAGAGAATATAAAGCGTAAAATGTAAAATAAAGTGCAAAGTAAAATGTAGTCCAGTGAATCTTTACTGCACATGACAAGGGTTCAAAAGACAAATCCACTGCATTTCGGGGGTTCAACACTCCCTTCATCAGGAATTAGATGCTGGCAGTAATGACAATACTGAGAATACTGGACAACAAAATATACAATAAAAGGATATAAAGTGTGAAATAAAATGCAAAATAAAAGTATATGTACTGTAAAATAAAATGTAAAATAGAGGAACATGAATTGTAACATAAAATGTAAAATAAATGCTAACAAATGATAAAAAGTATAAAATAAAATGTAAAATAAATGCTAACAAATGATGAAAAGTATAAAATAAAATGTAAAATAAAAGTATATAAAGTGTAAAATATGATGTGAAATAAAATGTAAGATAAAAGTCAAGATCTGATTCAGGTCACCTCATCAGCACATTTTATGTTCTTTTTATGTCACATTTTGTTGTCCGTTGTTCTTCTGATCCCTGACATTGGGGGAGTTTTGAGCCCCTGAATCACATCGGGGTTGATTTAGAGAGAATACAAAATCTGGAGCAGCTCTGCTTAACAACCAATCAGCTTCCAGCTTTTATTGTCAAAGCTTAATTGAACAAGCTGAAGTGAGAAGCTGATTGGCCGCCATGCACAGCTGCTCCAGATTTTGCACTCTCCAGTTTTAGTAAATCAACCCCATTGTCTTCTCCTGACTATTTGCACCTTCTGCACCTGCATTATTAGATCTGTGGTGCTCCCGTCCTTGAAGTACCCCCCTCCCCCGATGTTTCCCCGGATGACAGAGCTTCCTCTAAAATCCTGAACCCATATTGTCCCACCGACATGCCATTTGTAGAACTTTATAGAGATTTCTGACTTGTAACAATATACAGAATATATAATCAAAAAATAATATAAAATCAAAAATAAAATATAAAATAATAAAAAATCAGACTATACAGTGTAAACATTATATCAAGTCACGAGGAGAGGCTGCAGCAGTGGCTGATCTGTGTCAAACATTTAGAAATGTAACATTGTGTCCTTCATCTTGGAAAATGTTTTTTCTAATATTAAACAAAAAAATAAAAAAAAAATTTTTTTTATGCAATGAATAATTTTGTCGACCGACAACGCTGAGCGACCAAAACCTCTCGGTGGTCACTAGGTGGCAGCGCAGGTCAGCGGATGTCTTACCTGATCCATGTTGCTGCCGCAGGATGGCTGCCTTTCCGGGAGCAGGGGAAGCCGAGGAAGATGCGGCGGTGGCTTGCGATGGCGCCGGGCGCTCCCCTGGAGGGTTGGGGCGTTTGTTCCCGGGCTCTGGGGTGGCCCTGTTGCCGGGGTTATTCCTGCGGGGCCCGCTGCTCTGGATGTGGGAGACGGCCTCGGCGGCCTGCATGTCGGGCGGAGAGTAGCGGGCTATGACCCTCAGCATGGCCTGGGCTTTGTGTTCCTGAGTCTCATCGTCTCCATAATCCGACACCCGGCACTCGTACACCCCCTCGTCCTGCTTCCGGACGTTGGAGAGCCGCAGGCGGTGCGAGATGTCGTTGCCTTGTACCCGGACCGTCTGAAAGGACAAAAATCACAGAAATATTCAAAGACACAACTTTTTTTTTTTGGATAAAAATTTTATTTCACTTCCTGTTTCGGTGACAACTGTAACATTTTGGATTTTTACAGAGACAAAGGGGGTCACAGAGAACAACTTTCCCCCAGCAGGGGTGCAGACAGCTATCAAAACCTCGGGATACATGCATAGGGGGCGCTAGATCTCCTATTGGTCAAATCCAGGATTGTGAATGGTCATCTCATTGACTTTAACCCCTCCCTCCCAAAACAATCCCACCTGGAAGAAAAATATATTTGAAATATATTTTTAAAATATTCTTCCCAAATATATTGCCGTATATTTGAAATGCTACAATTTTGGCCGTATTCAATGTATTTTAATAAATTTATATATAAGATATTTTTCATATATTTTGTAATAAAAACGCAACATGCAGTGTATATATATATATATAATAAAATGGTCAGTCCGCCCTGGACGGTATATACAGTTTCCGGGAAAACGTCGTCTGGTAAGCACAAGCTCGGTCGCCATGGCCAACTGACTGAAAGAGACAAAAGGACATTGCGCAGGATTGTGACCCGGAATAAGAAAACAACTGCTGCAAAAGTGACTGCAGAGCTCAATCTCAGTCTTCCAAAAACTGCGCAGAGGGAACCCCACAAGAAAAACATTCCCGGGCGAGCTGCAATTGCCAAACCACTAGTGACGGATATTAATGCTCAGAAGAGGAGAGAGTGGTGCAATACCCATAAATGGTGGACTACCGATCGATGGAAGACGCTAATATGGTCCAATGATTCGAGCTTCACACTGTTCCCAACCACCAGATATGTTTAGGTGTGGCAAACACCGACCCCAGCTTCCAACCAGGACTGTCTTGTGCCAACGGTAAAGCATGGTGATGGCGCCATATGTTTGGGCACCCATATGTTGGTATTCTGCAGGTCCCATCAGGGGTGGACTGACAACTCATGGGGCCCCCGGGCAATAGGGGATCATGGGGCCCCTGTGTCCTTGCCCAAACTCAAAAAAGCCTATGAAAAAGGTACCAGGGGCATCTCATGGGGCCCCCTACTGACCCCGGGCCCTCGAGTTTCCAAATTGTCAGTCCGCCCCTGGGTCCCATCATCACCTTCAAAGGTAGAGTCACGGCCAGCGAATGACTACAAATTTTGGCCGGCCATCTACACCCCATGGTGCAGACATTGTTTCCAGAAGACAGCACCATTTACCAAGATGATAATTCTCTGATTCGTACAGATGGTTTTGTCAAATCGTGGTTTTATGGGCGTGCAGATGAAGTCTTGCACCTCCCCTGAGTGCCGCAGTCATCGAACCCCCATATCATAGAGCCACTACGGTCAATTTTGGAGAACAAGGTTTGCGTTCGTTTTCCTCCTCCGGCATCTCTGCGAGAACTGGAACAATCTTTGCATTAAGAGTGGTATCAGGTTCCATTATTCACCATCCAAGACTTAAATTTGCCAATTTCCAGGAGAATTCAGGCCGTCTTGGATGCCAAAGGCGGTCCAACACCCTATTATTTAACAATTTTGTGCTTTTACCTGGTGTTTACAGAATTCTGAATTCTGTCCAACCCCTGTGTGTATGTATGTATGTGTATATATATATATACTGTATATCTCAATAGATAAAAATAAGTGAGCGCACTACATGTAGCAGCTAAGCACAGTAGGTAACCAGATAAAACCTAAAAATCAAAGATAAAATAACGTAGTGTGGCGCTAAAAATAATACATATGATAAATTGCCTTTATGATAACGATAATAAAATTATTTAAAGTTCATGGGTATATGATCAAAAAATCGGAATGCTCAAAAGTAACAATCGTGTTCTGGAGGTGACTACTTCAGAGGTATTCTGGTGCTCGTGCAGATAGAAATAATAAAATTGCGCACTCACCAGATGCACAATTTTAATGTGCATATATATATGGGTATAGATGTCTTCTTAATGGGATCAGGGTAGAGCAGATGAAAAGTAATCCTCCCTCTGAAGGGTAGATGTCACAGCGGGTGATTCCAGGGTTTAGAGTTGATCCAAGACAGCCAGAGGTCCCTTACAGGGTATGGTGGATGCAGTATCCTGGGTAGACAGGAGATCCCCTCTTTGGGTACTGATATGGACCTTAGATGGGCTTCCAGGACACTTTCTATCTCTGGATCATGATCTTCTACGATCTCTGCTGTGTGATCTTTCCCTTCTATGATCTCTGTCACGCTCCCGACTTCGGGATCAGCAGTCATCTCTTTTAGATCTCTTATCAGGTGGTGAGCGGCTTTTTGAGGTGCTGCCAGATCGGCCACGTGATTATGAGCGTTTTCGGTAATATCTAGGCTCCCGGCCCATATATACATACACATACTCACTGGCCACTTTATTAGGTCCACCTTGCTAGTGCCAAGAAAGCATCCCCCACACCATTACACCACCACCAGCCTGAACCATTTATACAAGGCAGGATGGATCCACCACACCATGACACCACCACCAGCCTTAACCATTTATACAAGGCAGGATGGATCCACCACACCATGACACCACCACCAGCCTTAACCATTGATACAAGGCAGGATGGATCCACCACACCATGACACCACCACCAGCCTGAACCATTGATACAAGGCAGGATGGATCCACCACACCATGACACCACCACCAGCCTGAACCATTGATACAAGGCAGGATGGATCCACCACACCATGACACCACCACCACCAGCTTGAACCGTTGATACAAGGCAGGATGGATCCACCCAGGGGCGGACTGACAACTCATGGGGCCCCCGGGCAATAGGGGATCATGGGGCCCCTGTGTCCTTGCCCAAACTCAAAAAAGCCTATGAAAAAGGTACCAGGGGCATCTCATGGGGCCCTCGACTGACCCCGGGCCCTCGGGCAGTGTCCGAGTTTCCAAAAGGTCAGTCCGTCCCTGGATCCACCACACCAAGACACCACCACCACCACCACCAGCCTGAACCGTTGATACAAGGTGAGATGGATCCACCACACCATTACACCACCACCACCACCAGCCTGAACCGTTGATACAAGGCAGGATGGATCCACCACACCATGACACCACCATCAGCCTGAACCATTTATACAAGGCCGGATGGATCCACCACACCATGACACCACCACCACCACCAGCCTGAACCATTGATACAAGGCAGGATGAATTCACCACACCATGACACCACCATCAGCCTGAACCATTTATACAAGGCCGGATGGATCCACCACACCATGACACCACCACCACCACCAGCCTGAACCATTGATACAAGGCAGGATGAATTCACCACACCATGACACCACCACCACCAGCCTGAACTGTTGATAAAAGGCGAGATGGATCCATGCTTCCATGCTGTCTACACCAAATTCTGACCCTACCATCTGAATGTCACAGCAACCAGTCTGCCCATTCTCCTCTGACCTCTGACCTCAACAAGGCATTTTCCTCCACACAACTGCCGCTCACTGGATATTTTATCTTTTTCGGACCATTCTCCGTAAACCCTAGAGATGGTTGTGTGTGAAAATCCCAGTAGATCAGCAGTTTTTGAAATACTTAGACCAACCCGTCTGGCACCAACAACTGTGCCACGTTCAAAGTCACTTAAATCCCCTTTCTTCCCCATCCTGATGCTTGGTTTGAACTTCAGCAAGTCGTCTTCACCACCTCTAGATGCCTAAATGCTTTGAGTTGCTGCCATGTGATTGGCTGATTAGCAATTTGTGTTACCAAGCAATTGAATAGGTGTACCTAATAAAGTGGCCGGTGAGTGATGTATATATCTATATATCCCCAAGATTGTAAGCCCTAACGGGCAGGGCCCTCTGTTTCCTCTTGTACCAAATTGTATTGTAACTGTGATGTCTACATTCATTTTGTAAAGCGCTGCGCAAACTGTTGGAGCTATAAAAAATCCTGTATGATAATAATTATAATTAATATATATATATAGAGTTGTGTTCAAAATAATAGCAGTGTGTTGAAAAAAGTGAATAAAGCTGAAAATCCTTCTAATAGCTTTTATTTCCATCCACACAAATGCATTGGGAACACGACACATTCTATTCCAAATCAAAACATGAAGAAAAATACATCAAATTTGTGTTGTTCCTCTAAAAAAATTGAAGAAAAGTGAATATTAGACGGTTCAAAAAAATCGCAGTGTTTGTATTCTTCTTTACAAACTCAAACATTCACTATATAAACTGAGAAATGTTTGAAGATTTTGCTTTCCTTTGAATGACTTCATGAATATTTGGTTGTAGTCGCACTGTTTGTGAGAACTGCTGTACATCTGTGTTGCATGGAGTCACCCAACTTCTGGCCCCTGTGATCAGGTATTCCAGCCCAGGATGATTGGACCACATTCCACAGTTCTTCTCTATTTCTTGGTTTTGCCTCAGAAACGGCATTTTTGATGTCACCCCACAAGTTTTCTATTGGATGAAGATCCGGGGATTGGGCCGGCCACTCCATAACGTCCATCTTGTTGGTCTGGAACCAAGATGTTGCACGTTTACTGGTGTGTTTGGGGTCGTTGTCTTGTTGGAACACCCTATTTCAAGGGCATTTCCTCTTCAGCATAAGGCAGCATGACCTCTTCAAGTATTCTGATGGATTCAAACTGATCCATGATCCCTGGTATGCGATAAATAGGCCCAACACTGTAGTATGAGAAACATCCCCATATCATGATGCTTGCACCACCATGCTTCACGGTCTTCACAGTGTACTGTGGCTTGAATTCAGTGTTTGGGGGTCGTCTGACAAACTGTCTCCGCCCACTAGACCCAAAAAGAACAATCTTACTTTCATCAGTCCACAAAATGTTGCGCCATTTCTCTTTAGGCCGGTCAATGTGCTCTTTGGCAGATTGTAACCTCTTCAGCACACGTCTTTTTCCAACAGTGGGACTTTGCGGGGACTTCTTGCAGATAGCTTGGCTTCACAT